TATTGGGAGAAATTTGATTTTTTGATGGAACTAATCCGCATTTGATTTACAAAGAGTGGAAAACCACGAAAACCTCCCACACTTAGCCTGACGACAAGGGGACTCTAACCCTGATACGTTTACCATTGAGGATATTTAATGTCAGCACTGTGGTCGGTGCAAGCCCGATGCAGAATTCGTATGTACCAGTCATCGGTCGCTGGGATTCGAACCTGGGTTTACTTCATTAGAAGACAAACATACTATCCCCCGAGCCATCATGGTTTGACACTCAACATCAACATTAACACTCAACATCAGTACTGGCAATAGCACCTTCTGTTGAGGAATAAGAATAATTCTGAATAATCTGAGAAACTGAATATTTTATCACCAATTTTTTTTTAAATTTCTTGAACAAATGCGTGGAATTTTGAGAATATACAGGTAAACAGGATATGATCATAAAATACAAGAGTCTTTGTTAAAAACAGGAGACTTGGTAGATATGAAATACCGTGAATGCTGAATGAATAAGTCAAATTTCAAGTTGTCAAGTAATTTTGCTATTATATTAAGCAATGAAATAAAAATTTAGCAATTCTAAATATTTGTTAAACTGTCTAACATTTAAGGAAAATTTAATCTTTTTTACCCTCTAACATTAAAGATGCATACTATTGTAATGTTTTCATTAATTTTTAAAATATGTCAGTACACATATGAAATAATAGTGCAGAATTAACTCAAAAATATGAATTTTTTTTTAATAAATTCTGAATTCCTTATGTATTTGCAGGGTGCTTTTTCAAAATCATGGGCATCTTCAGTTTTGACGGGCTCTAATCTTGCTAAATATATTAATTATATTTTGTTAGACATGTGCCCTTTAAAACAAAACTAAAAATAATAAAACAAATATGAAAAATAACATTTTATATTGCCATAGCCTAAATATAATTCCCACTAGTAATGGTAATCTGAAGTTCTACATTTCTGCTAATTGCTTTTTCTTCTTCTTAGAATAGGAAAGAGCATTTTTTTCTAAATGAAAGGTGGACAACATAAGGGGTAAGGAGGGTGCATGTACCTTTAAATAAGGGCAGGTAGGGAGGGTTAACCATCTAAAAACTCTTAGGGGGAACACTATCATTTGCTATTATGATAATAGAAAAAACCTGTTTTAGCTGGATATATTTCTGGATGATCCTTGATCTCACAAAATATTTTTGATCACTCAAAATAAAAATAAAAAAATAAATTTTTTTTTTAAATTTCTGAGGAATTCAAAACGTTTTCTTGAAGTCAAAGACTTTTCTTGAAGAACAGAAACATTTCAGCAAAGCATAAAATCAAATGAAGAACCAAAGATAACCCTGTTTCAAGTAAAGGCTTTTTGAAGTAAATGTACTTCAACTTTCAAAATGTTCGTATAGTTATTAGTTTGATTAACATTTTAAAAATATTTGGTTCTTGATTCTCAATATTAAGGAATTTTCATGTCACTATTCGAGTTTGTGGTATCAAGATTTGACTCTATTTATCAATAAAATATATGCTAAATCAAAATGTATCAAACAAACAATTTAAACGAAACATACATTTTTAATTTAACAATTCAGCAAACAGCTGTGATAAATAAATTACCCTTCAACACTAAACCTAACTGCTAACAAAAAAACTTTAGTATACTTTTAATTTATTAAAACATTGATGTAAAAGGTATTAACTTCATTATTTATTAATAATTTAAATTCCCTAATCAATAATGGGCTGAGTAAATACGCCCATAATGACTGGTACAATAATTTAAGATAGATTTCTTTGAAAATAAACAAAAACCAGGAAAAAATTTTGGCAAAGTTTTTTTGAAGCTATGGTATACAAATATTTATATTAATTAATTATTTAAAAAAATATTAATGTGGTCTNTTGAGTTTATGATTATAACAACTATTTACTGATTAAAAATGAATATTAATCATGAATATAAGCTTATAAAGTATTTCTCTGGCTCTCCCTTACAAACAAATAAAATAAACTGCGTTTTTAAGTTCCACCGTTGAAAATTTTATTTCCGGAAATTTCTGTGATCAATGATTTTTTGAAACGTCTGGATCTTTGATCTCCGGAAACTTCCGGATCACTGTTAGCGAAAATTCTGGAAGTCCGGATTTTTTCCGGAGCACAATCAGCCCTGATTAACGGAATAAGCCCTATTCAATACAAATAAATTTAATCTTATTCAACAACATTCGAGGTGAATGTGAAAAACACAATCAAATCTTACTTAATTATTAACGTAGTCAAATATTTAGGAGGATGAGGCTTAAAATCTATCATTATGACAATATAACGAAAGTTAACACCAACATAATATTCAAATAAGATTAGCTGTCAAAATGTAAAAATTATTTTTTTTCAGGCCATTACATAAATTTTCCTGTAGGAAATGCATAACTTTGTGCAAATCGCTTTAAAGTTTTTTTTTTTCTCCAGTTCTAGAATCAAGTAGAAAAGAGCTAAATTTCCAAAAAATTCATAAAAAAAGTTAACCTTTTTTTTATTTAAAAAATTATACTGTGATTTTTCTTTTCCCTTTTTTTTTAAAATAAAAATTTAAATATGTTGCATATTCTAGATCAGGGGTTTCCAACTTACATGAGGCCGGGGGCCGCAACTTGATCAAAATTTTATTTAGGACTCTTTTATGTTTGAAGGAATATTAAATATTGCTGTCAGATTTTTATCAAGTTGTACAAAACAAAAGTATAGAATTACAAATTAAAAAATTCTTTCTACAATAATTGTAATGTGCACCAATGTATTAAACAATTAATGTGCGACAGACATCAAATTGTCAAGATGTAAAACTTAAAAGTATTTAAAACCCATATCGATTTTTTTACGAAAATTGTCCACAAAATATGACAACTAATATATTTTAATTCGTGGAACACAAAAAAAGGCTTCTTGGATCGGTTTCGTCCTGCCAATTGGTAACTACTGTTCTAGATCAATGTGAGAAATTTTCATTTGAGATCAAATATTTAAAACTGGCAAGTAAGTTTTTAAAATATTGGGTTTAAAATTAAACTACATATGCATAAACTATCGAACCTTAATTAAATGGTGCATAGAAGTGCTTTGAAACTTTTACACAACGTTTTTCTTTCTTTAAGAACACAAAATGCTGGCTTACCCACTTTTCACCTATAAAAGCCTTGCTTCTGAAAACATTGGAAACTTAAGACAATCGTATTTTGATTAAAAATTATTGTAACGAATCTGTTTCAACTTTTAAGTTTCTACATTTCCTTTTGTGGTTTCGGTTATCAAAAAGTTCTTCGCACTACATCTATTAAAATTTTAAAAACTGTTGACATTTTTCATCAATGTAGAATGGAGACGAGCAAACTGAAATTTCATGCCTTGATCCAAATTAAACAAACTCTAAAGTTTTAACTCAGAAGTGGTTAAGTCCAGTCCTAATTAGAAAAGAAATAAGTACACAAATTTAAAAAAATTTTGAATTATATACAGGGTATCTGCTACATTTTAGATTTTCAAATCTACAGGGGTGATTGTGAGCCCAAGTCAAAATTCGGGAAAATTTCTAGATTAAAAAAACTTAAAATGGAAAAATTAAACAAGTTTTTTTTCTCCTTTCTCTCAATTTTTCTTAGTTTACTTACAATATATTTAAAATTTTACACATACCTATACCATTTAGACATACCTATGATGACCTGGAGAAGTAATTAAAATTTACAAATATGTCTTTCTAGAGTTTATGATTATAAAAACTATTTACTGATAAAAAATGAATATCATTAACATAAGCTTATAAAGTATCTCTCTGGCTCTCCCTTACAAACAAATAAAATAAACTGTATTTTTAAGTTCCACATTTGAAAATTTGATTTCCAGAAACCTCTTTGATCAATAATTTTTTGAAACATCTGGACCTTCAATCTCCGGATCACTGTTAGCGAAAAATCTGGAATTTTTCCGGAGTACAATCAGCCCTGAATCTACGACTTTCTATGACTAATTCCAAGAATTTTTCATGACTTAACGAAGTTACTATTTTCTCGAACAAAAACACAATATATTTAAAAAAGCAATATAATAACATTAATTGAAATGATAGGTATAACCAAAGCTGTTATACTCTGCATCTTCATATTTACAGATTTTAAATTTAAAAAACAGAGTAAAGAAAGAGTTGAATCAATAAAATAGCTGGGAAAAAATACAAAAGCAAATAATTTTTTCCTTTTTTTTTTCTGCAGAATTATATTCTAAAGATACTTTTCTTGTTCATTAGAAAGGAAAGAAACTCGTGCTTTTTTTGTTCTCATTTCCGAATAAAAACAATTTGCCAATGACTGACTGGCTTGTCTGCACTAGAATTTTAAATTTATAAAATAAAAATATATACAGTAGGGAACCGATTTTCCGGAACGGTCGGGACCATCGCTATTCCGGATAACTGATTTTTCCGGTTTTCTGAATCGCTACAAAAAGCCGTTTTTTTAATTGTTAAACCCAACTAAAAAAAAATTTTAAAAAAAAAATGGCGAGAAAATTTATCGAATTTCGTCCCTGTTTTTTGGTTTTCCGATTTCCGGATAACGGGTTCTGTACTGTACATAACAAAAATTCTGAAATCACAGAAGTGTAAAAGATAATTCACTCTAGAAAAGATGTTTTTTCTTTCATTCTTTGAAAGAACACCATAATTTTTAAAGAACATGATAAAAACATTTTATATTTTGTTAGAAATTTAGATATTCAGAACACCAAGAAATTGGGGTGGGGGGTGGAGATTCCTTTTTAAAAAGTAGATCTTTTGGGTACCTAAATCCATGATTTTTTTCTCTTTAAAAAATAGTAAAATCATGACAAATTTTGTTCAATACCAAAATTCATGACTTTCCAGGCACATGGATACCCTGTATATAAATTGTTACTTTGGTGGTTAAAAGATGTAAAAAAGGGAAGAAACTAATACTCACTTTAGGAATTTCACGACCACTCCTTTTTAATTCTTCCCTATACCACTGAGTGAAATGTATATAAGCAGTAGTTGCCCTTTTAGGAGGAGGAATACCATCTTTATTTAGTTTATATTTCTTTTTTGATTTTCCACCACCAGCATGGTGATGTCCAACATGTCCTACATGATGTTGTCCAACAACACTATTACCACTACCACCACCTGAAGATCCCAGAGACCCATATGAATAATGGTAGGCAGCATTATTGTTGCCTAAAGATGAACCTAAACCAGAAGAGGAATAGCCTTGATTCACTGAGTTCACACTAAGATTTAAAGCAGCTGGAAGTGATGGAATTTGAGCCATAGCAGAATGTAAAGATGAACTGTTCGCTGCATTGACAGCTGCAGCATGCTGTGCCATGGCCTGTTGATAATCATATTCAGTAGAGAGTGACATATTCTGATGCCGGAATGGGAGGCCATCTGGAAGAATAATGGCAAGATATTTAAAATTCAGAGATATACCAATTGATACTCTCATTTTAAAAAAAATATTTAGATGAAGTTAGGCTCAATCATTTTTTTCTTCTTTACCTGTGTACCCTGCCATTTAAAATAGATGGTTTATCAAAATCAGGTGGTAAATCTGTTTTGAAAGTAATGTACCTACAGAATTATGCGAAAGCCTTGTGATGGTTCAGCATTCTAAGTTATATTACCTTGTTCTAATATAATAAATTAGGATAAATTTCAGCATGCCTACTAGGAAGAATTTTCAGAAATATTATATTTATTTATTTTTTTGCTAAACTTTACATGCAGATAGGCTACACTTCATATTATGCAGGGGCTTATCTAAAGGGCATTAACTTGCTTCGTTAAAATATTTATATTTTTCAACTTAATATTAACTGCTCTCTCTCAATTTGTCTCTTTACATAAAAAAAATAAATAAATAAATAAAAATAAAAACCAAGCTAAATGGCACATTTAAACAACTTTTAGAGTTACTAAGCATACAGAATCCCTCCTTTTTTTAAAATTGTATCATAAATTTTATCTTCACATGTAGACAACTAAATGGCAGCATAACAACCTAGTTTAGCTATTTTTTGATGAAATGAGGGTAGATATTTTGAGAAACATTAAATTTTGTTTATAGTATGACTCCAAATTTTGTTTTGATACTAAAATGATCACTTAGTAACAAAATCTATGAGTCTTCCTGGGGAGTCGGTACCCTAATTGCACATTTTGTAAAAATAAGTCACCATCCTTTAAAAACAATGCCTTTTTATTTTTTTCAGGAAAAGGTTGCTTTCTTAACCACCTGCCAACTGGTAAGGTATTTAAAAAAAAAAATTGAAAGTTTAAAATCGATTTGGCACCTTGGCGACTGTAGTTGGTATGACAGATCACAATACGGAAATATCCCCTCACCTCTGGCATTTATAAATTCAAATATATATCCTACATATTTATTTACATAAACACACACATATATATAAAACCAACTCAATGAATATGTCTAATTAAAATCCATTAAGACAAGTATCGCTCATTTTGTAAAAAGCAGTATTTTAGAAAAAAAAATTTCAAGGAAAATTGGTATATATCCTATATAAAAATCAAGAAATTGTAAATGTAACAAACCTATTAGAAAAAGAAAAAAAATTCTGAAATCTTAAAAAATATTTTAAAGAAAATATAAAAGTTATTGTTTCAATGATTATATTTCATCTTGTTATCTTCATAATTAATGGGATAGTTGAGTTTGTTTTATCATTAAAAGTTTGGATACTTTTCTATTAACCGGGCTTAATAAATTCACCTATTCTGTAAATTTATCTCTAAAACAATCATTCTAAAAAAAAGTACTTAAATTTGTTCATACGAGATTTCATGTAAAAAATTGATAAAAGCAAATCATTTTCATAAAATTAAAATATTGCTAAAGAAAACATAACAATAAAGTGACTATTGTTATCTGAACTATTGACTTCTTTGATCATTAAAGCTTAAATTTTGAAGGTGCACTTTTTTATTGCTTATTGTTTGTTTTATTAATTATTTAATAGAAATTTTTTTACGATTCTAACTTATTTTTAGAGCTTTTCTTTATTTTTACTCAACACTGACTAACTTGATATATTTATTAACACTGCAGCATGCCACTTATTTGACAAATTGTGAAATCTTTAATGGGCAAATGAGTATATATAACTAAGCAAGGACAGAAAATGCCCCATCTATATAATCTCTTTAACTTACATATGTACTTCATTTGTCCTATTTTTTAAAAAATTTATTATTATTAATAAAATTGAAAAATCTGGTTTCTCTTAATGAAAAATTAAATATATTTTTTTACTTACCATGCAATACTTCTTAAGTTTGTTTAAAAATGTAAGATTTGCATAAGCATTTAGTATACACAGGGGTGATTGTGAGCCCAAGTAAAAATTCCGGAAAATTTCTTGAGTTAAAAAAAAAAACAGTTCAAAATTGAAAAAAATTTAAACTAGTTTTTTTTCCTCTTTCTGAATATTTCTTAGTTTACTTAAAATATATTTAAAATTTGACACATACCTATGATGACCTGGAGAAGTAATTAAAATTTACAAATATGTCTTTCTTTCATGAGTTTATGATTATAACAACTATTTACTGATAAAAAATGAATATTGATCTTGAATATNAAAAAAAAAGGTTGAGAATCACTGTCTTATATACTTGTGAATTGTAGTTGTAATTTTGTAGTGGTAGATACGCTACAGTACTCCCCCACCAGAGTTATAGCTGTGATAGAATTCGATGAACGGATACCACTAGTTGAATCACTGTTAGCGAAAATTCCGGAAATCCGGATTTTTTCCGGAGCACAATCAGCCCTGGTATACACTTACCACATTTGTTAGCTTGGTATAAATAATGTATAACACTTCGGAAAAAAAAATAATATTAATTATCATAACTGTTGCAGTATATTTCTTTTTGAGAATATGGAACAATTTTCAAGTGACTGATATTTAATGACCTTATTTAACTAATAATGAAATATATTGTTCATGTAAGAAACACACCTAAACTCTTTAACTATGGTAACGCTAATTAGTTTAAAAGAAAAAGTTAAGAAATACTAAATAAGCTAAAGAAAACATGTAACATTAATGTTTTTCTAAATAATCATTTTAGGAAGTTTTGTCTATAAATAATAAGATAAATTTTCTAAATTTTTTAAAAAAAATTTTTTTTGTTGTTACATTTTATGAAACACTGAAAAAGTTAGAATCTAGATCGAGATTTAAAAATAAACGCTAATTCCTCCTCAAAGCAATTATTAAAAAAAAAAAAAAATTTCGACGAAATGTTAGGATAACATTAAAAACATTTAAAATCGCTAAATTAGAATAAGATAAAACCTCAAAAAATTACAATCAAATGTAAAATCTGAAGCCAAAGAAAAATGGAATTAATAAAAATGAACAAAACTATATCATTAACAACCTCGATCAATCAAGCTCCCGGCAAAAATCAATTAGATATTTAGCAACGAAACAAACACTTATCATCCAAATTCTATATTTCAAAAACATTTTAAAGTCACATTCCATTCAGAAAATACAATCATTAATACATATTTCATTAGTAATATTATTTAACATTTGCACACTTCAAAAGTAAAATGGTAAAATTTCATCAAAAAACAAGACGCCAAATTAAAAATCTAAAGAACTCAACTAACCTTTATTAGAAAACATACTTCGCTTCGCCAATTGTTTACAAGTCCACAAATATCGCTCAGCAATAGATAAAAATCGCTTTGGAAGACGAAATAACAATTGCAGACAGAGAAATGATGCTTAAACAGCCATTGTATTAGACGTTTGAAAGCTTACTTTAAATAATCGATACCGATCAAAATGCGTATCTCGCCAGCATTTAAAAAAAAGAAGGCTTAATGATGACAAATTCATAAACAATGAAAAACGGCCTCAAATCCCGCGCAATTAATGACAACACGTCCATTGTTATTTTTTTCTAATAAGAAGCAGGCGAAAAAAAACTGAAGTCCTAACAGAGCTGCTTTTCTTTTTTAAAAAAATTATGAATTGTCAATCGATGAGTTTAGGGGCTAATTCCCCTCCCCATTACTACCCCGTGTAGCTTTTGTGTTACTGAATCCATAAACCCGATGCAGCAGAAACGCGGGAACCGTTGTTTTGTTACCATGACATGCCATTTAAATGTCATCGCGGGAACTCTACTGTCAGGCGTCATAGAGGTGTCATACATATAACTATATAGTCATACCTAAATTTATGCATTAAGCGCATCATATAGAAGGTGATTAGTTTTACATGCAAATGTGCGCAGCAGCTCTACAGCCACCAAGCCATAACTCATACAAAATGGCGGGAAAGGTTAGTATCTTTAAATTTTGCATATTCCACATTAAAATTGAAAATTTTAGAATTTTTAAGGAGTCTTGAGTCAAAATTTTTAGCTATAGAGTCATTATATAATATTACTAAAATATAGAAATAAGTTTACTTACCCATAATTTGTAATAAGTATTCTAAATTATGATTTTAATTTTACTTCAATGAGTCCCACATTCGACAAAGCGACGCTGTACTACATCTACAGTGTTAGAAAATACCCTCAAACGCAAACATTATTGTTTGACATAATATTTTGGTAAAAAAATTAAACAAAAAAGAATGCGCGCTTTTATTGATCTGGAATTTTTAAAACGTTTAAAGAAAAGAATACTTTCTTCACTTTTGTGATTGATAATTTAGTTGGAATCGATTTGAATGTTTAATAAAACTCATGATAGAGTTCTGTTTTAAAATATTTTAGTAGACCACTGTATTCATAAAAATCGTTTTACATTTATTTAAAAATTTTAATTTCTTGCTTTATATATCATTCGGAAGCTTTTTTAATAGAAAAAACAATTATCAATCGAGAAATAAGCTAAAACTCAAACATTTTGTTCAGTAAATCTTTAAAATCTTGTTTCATTTTTCAAAGTTTATTAAAGGATTTATTCTAAATTAAATATTTTTTCAAAAAAATGTCTTCAAATTTAAATTGGAACAAAATTTATTAAATTCTAGTTTTTAACAATAAGTACCTCATTTGCATAGACGTTTTAAATAAATGTGTTAATGTTTCTGTTTTTAATTAGTTTCGTTTTCGTGCGTTTTTTTCTTCTTCTTCTTTTTTTAAAAACTTTTCCATGTTTTTTTACATTTCGCCGATGGCAACTACTAATATTGAAAGTGAAACAGTGCAGACTGTTCGGTTATACATTTTGCGACGATTGTTTTGTTGTTACTTTCGAAAGATCTCAAAATATTTACTTCCCATGGAAAATTATCGAACAATATTAGATATGAATCGACTAATCTAAGAGAAACTAACCCTAAATTTTAATTAGGTTTTAACGAATATGATCATGAATTCTTGTATTAATGTAGTACTTGATCTTGAAACTAAATTGAGGCATTTAAAATTAGGGGAAATAAATCAACTTTCAGCAATTTTACTTCTTAATGATAGTTGGCGAGATTTAGCTGCAGTTATTCGTGATCCTGATAATCCCAGCTATTTTCTTTATGACACTGACAATATTAGGTTTGTGTTATTAATGTACTCATTATACTCGTATCGTTAATAATCATTTCAACTTATCAATGACTAGATCTGTTTTTGTAATATAATGAACTAGTTAGAATGCATAATCTATATGATTATTAATATCTTATCTTATATTGACCTTCTTAAAATTTAATTTTTATTAAAAAATGTTTTGCCTATTTTAAAATTTGTTACTAAGCTTTTTATTTTTATAGTGGTGATAAATTACATAGTTTAAATAGGATTTTTTTCTGTTTTTATATTCAACTACTCTTTAAAAATCTTTCAAAATTATTTTTTTTTTTTTAATCAATGCATCTTTTTTATTGCCTACTGGTTGGATAAATTGCTTCTACTAATTATCCTATAATTATTTAATCAAGTGTTAAGATTGTGTTATATTCCCTTTCAGGTTATTAGATGATAAAAGAAAATGTGGAAAAAATCCAGCTGAAGCCTTATTGGAACATTGGGGCACATATGGAAAAAGTCAACCTAATATAAAAAATCTGTTATTTTATTTGAATGAAGCAAATCTTTTGAGAGCTGTCCATTTTGTGAAGAGTCAATTTCTGAAAAGTAACTATTAAACCTTATTTTTGCTCTGCTAACAGATATTTATAGAAAATGTTTTTTTTTTTTTTTTTTTTAAAGATTTTTATCTTGATTATATTAAAAATGCTTTGGTTTTAACTAGGAATTAGACAGATTCATTAAGTTTCAGTTTTTATCTATTTTTGTATATTTCTTATTTTTTATCAAACAGTTTTTTTTTTTCTAGTTATTTTAAATTTAATATGGTTACGTAAATTTACGAAAAGTAGTACAAACTTCTATCTGAAAATGTATTATTATTTTATTTTAGTGCTCACAATTTCCAAAAAAATAATTGCAATTTTTATATTTAAATAGGTTTAAGAAATTTATAAATTAAAAGCTAATATTTTTTCATGCATTGTAGTCATGAATATTTGAAACAAAAAATATAGTTACTAACTTTATAGTTTGTGAAGTAGAAAATGTATTTTATAGAAGAAACCTGAGGGGAATATTTCTGTCTATTTAATTTCTTCATGCCGCTGCTTGGTAGTCGCCAAAACTTGGCAATTTATTTGGAGCAGCTGCTACCTAAGTGATATTTTTACAATGTGAGCCTTTTCCTCTGAAGAATTACAAAGGCATCCTCATAAGTTTATATTTTGTAAAGTGGAAAACGAAGTTTATAGAAAAAACCTAAGGGGAATATTTCTGTCCATTTTATTTCTTCATGCCACAACTTGGTAGTCGCCAAAACTTGGCAATTTATTTGGAACAACTGCCAGTGCAGAAATTTTCCCCAAGTTTTGGCGACAAAAAAATTTCCCCCAAGTTTTTTCTTACAATGTGAGCATTTTCCTCTGAAGAATTACGATGGCATCCTCATAAATTTATATTTTGTAAAGTGGAAAACGTATTATATAGAAAAAACCTAAGGGGAATATTTCCGTCTATTTTATTTCTTCATGCTACTGCTCAGTACTCGCCTAAACTTAGCAATATATTTGGAACAGCTGCCAGTGCAGAAATTTTCTTGACCCAAGTGATATTTTTACAATGTGAGCATTTTCCTCTGAAGAATTACAAAGGCATCCTCATAAATTAAAAAATATATATATATTTATGTTAGCCACTGTTTAATTGGTAATTCAAACAGGTACAACCATTAAAAAAAATTAGGAACTGAAATAAAATTCACTTTGATAACATTTGTTGTAATAAGTTATAACTGGAAGAAAGAAAAAAAAGATTCTGAAAAAGATTTGAGACTAAGTTTTAATTATTTTTGTTCTATTGAAACTAATTTAGGAAAAGTAATTAATAAAATGAAAATTTAAATAAGAGTATATTCATATGAAACATATATTTATTCATTTGTTATTGTTATTATTCAGTTTTTACTTATTATTTTATTTTTGCTTAGACTATTTAATGAGTTTTTGATGCAGTATTTTCGAACTCAGGCACTATTTCTTGTTTTCACCCCTTCTTTTCTGTTATATTTCTCATTTTAGATAATATTCCTGAAACGCACATTGAAACTGAAGAATTGGAAACCATTATAAATATCGAAAATAAAAATGCTCTAGCTTCAGAGCTAAACTGTGTTGATAGGATGTCAAAAGAATTCAATCTTGATGGAATTACAGTATATCCATTTGAAGCATTGGCTAAAGCTACCATGAATTTCTCTGAAAGAAATGGCAGTAAAATTGGAGAAGGTACTTATGGAATGGTATTTCAAGGAAAAGTTTCTGATAAAATAGTAGCCATAAAGAAATTAAAGAATAATGTTGATAAACAATTTTTTACAGAATTGAATATTCTTTCAAGGTAAATATTTTTTGTTTTTCTTAGTAAAGCAGGGTGCATAGCATTTTTAAAAGTTCGTAAAGGTGCTTATTTTCGTTTTTCAATAGCTCTTAAAGGTACTTTTTTCATTGGGTGTTTTTAATAAGTGCTTAATTTTTCTTTTACCATATTGATTTTTGCTACAAATTATGCAAAAAGACACAGTTCAGATTTTTCTGTTCAAAATTTTCACAATTAATTCAACCTCAATCTGTTTTGGCGTATTGCCAGTCCGCAGCATATAAAAACGCCATTCGTTTTACATGATTTTTGACAATTGTCAAAAACAATGCCAAAAGTTTTTTTTTGTTTTTTGACATGATTGTTAAAACAAGATAAAACCGTCAATAGTCAAAAACTTGCCAACCCTGCCTAGTTATGATATTTTTTTTAAAGTGCTTACAAATGTTTTTTGAGTGCTTTAAAGGCGCTTATTTTTTGTTGAATAATTTGGCTATGCACCCTGTAAGGTTATTTAACCACCTTATTATGGTATGTTTTGTATACTATGAGTTAAATGTTTCGTCAACTGATTGTTTTTCTCCTCCAGAAGTGTTAGTAAATAAATTTCAGAAAAGATAATTTGTTGTACCCAGTATAGTTTGAAGCATGGACAAGGCTTTCTTTTTAAACTACCAGTTTTGTTATTTGTTGTTCATGGCCACAGTTACATATTATTTCACAATTTAATTGATATGCAGGACCCCGTGGCTGAATCGCAGGGACACGGCAGCACTGTCGCAGAAATTTAAAGAGGTTTTGTGGAAAGATTTTTTTTTTTGAAAAGTAAAAAATTATACTTTTTTTTTTTACAGAAATTTGCACGTAATATTTGAATCATGCATTTAGATAATCACTTCTCAGCACACTCAATTTATGCCGATAGTATTGTAAATCGATGTGATGTTTCGTTTGTATTTTCAGCACTTATTGATATTGATTTTCACATGGCTTTTAAGCATCCCTATATATTTTCAACAATATGGAAAATTCGATTTGTGCATCTGAGTATTTATTTTTTAAGGTAATAATTCTATCGAATTTTTGGCAGTTATTGCTATTAATTTCTCCACAGTTTTTAAATCCAATATTTTATGTAGGTTATTCATAAAATACGATTCGCGTGATTTCGTCGTCAATCCTTTTTTTTTTCGGTAATTACTACTACGGATTTTATTATTTTTAATAATTTTTTATTGTGATGATTATTCACAAAATGCGAAGAAGTAAATAATTTGTGCGTTTCCCACCAACGAAATACGAGAATATCGCCCATAACATTAGAATAAAAAATTATTACATGTTCAATTTTAAAAAAATTATGCAGTTTTTTTTGTAAACACATCGTATTTGTTATTTTAAATTAGTAATTTATGTGTTTGTTATTATTTAGCTTTTGGGCTTCTTTTTGTTCCATCTAACACAAAAGTTTTCCAATGGTTAATTTTTGACATCTTTCTATCTCATCTTGCCCACGTGTCAGGGAGAACAGAGAAAAACTCTTATTGTCAGGGAATTTTATTTTGATTCAAAAGGAAGAAAAAAGTCAGGGAAAGTTGCATTTTTTTTTTGACAAAAACTTTTAAAGTTTATATATGATACCTTGAAAATAACCAGACTTACAGTAATCAGTTATTTAAATTTGATTTAAATAATTCTAACATTATTACAATTATTTGTTGTAAAATCTCACATTTTAATAAAACTTTTCCATGTTTCCATTCTCATTCAATGATATTTTTTTACTCTCAAATTCTATTATTTGACATTTGACAAAAAAAAATTTAAAATTTTTTCAAAGAAAAATTACATGGTATAGAAAAAATATTCTTTTGAAATATTATTGAAGTTTTTTTAAATTACCTGGAAAAGTCAGAGAATTTGTTTTCTGAAATAAGTGAGAGCCTTGTCATTTCACATTGTGAAGCATTGGATTGAAGTGTCTTCTCTTATGTTTTATTTATTTATTTATTTATTTTTTCATTTGAGACATTGTACATAGTACTAAGTGTCAAAGCCACCTGATATCAACCATGTAATATACTTTTGTTGTTTTAAAAATTGTTTGTTCAGATTTGCTTTTTATTTTTCAGATTTAAACACAAAAACCTTCTGCCACTGCTAGGTTGTTCTTTGACTGGATCTGAATGTTGCCTTGTATATGAATACATGGAAAATGGTTCATTACAAGACAGATTGGCTTGCCTTGTAAGCTACAATTGATTTCTTTTTTTAAGACGGATTATATTAAAAAAAAAGGAAAAAGCAGACATTACAATTGTTTGAGTGTTGAAAATGTTTTTTATTTCAGTTTTTAAATGGATTTCAGTTTTAATATACTGTCAAACGGGTTTTAATATAGTATTAATAAATTAATTTGAACTAAATTTTTTATTTATTAAATCATTATTATTTGAAATACTGGATCCAACTCATAAACTAAATAAAATTTTGGCTTTTACCTTATGGGATAGCCCTTATGTACAACCAAACAAAAATATTCATGAGCCAAAAGCAGCCAAAAATACAGTGAATTTTAAATTATTAGTTTATTCCAATTGTAAGCCTTGAATTCTTACTTTTTGAAACCGTGTTTCAGTTGTATATTTAGAAACATGCATACCAATGTTCCAAAATTTTGTTATAAAATATTAATCATGCTAAAAAGTTGGCTTTTCATTGCATTTTCGTTCACTGGTGTCATAATTTTTTTTGTAAGTGACTTTCTGTTGTTGAATTTTACATACTGGCTAATGCCAAAGAATAGCTACAAGGTTTTGTATCTACTTAGACTTTTTTAAAAATGTCCTAGTGTCAAAAAAAAAATTTGTTTAAAGAGAAAAAATAAATTTTTTTCCTGCTGAAATAATTTGATAATTAGGGGTTTATAATTAGGAATTATTGTTAGGTATTATGAATAGGGCTTTTTGTATTAATTTAGGAAAAAAGAAGATCTGTTAAATCGCAAAATTCGATTTACATAGAAGTTTGTTATATCAGGGTATAAATATAATTACAGTAGGGAACCCATTATCCAGAACGATCCGGACCATCGCTATCCCAGATAACTGATTTTTCCAGTTTTCTGAATCGCTACAAAAAGCCGTTTTTTTATTGTTTAAACCCAACTAAAAAAAAATATTCGGAAATAATCTGAAAAAGAAAAAAAACGATGAAGTAATGATTATTTCCAAAATGATGGTAAGATAAACATCTTTCAAAAAAGAAAGAAAAATCCTAAAATCTTATGAGGAAAAAAACAATTTTTTAAAAAAAATGTCGGAAAATTTATCGAATTTTGTTCCGGTTTTTTGGTTTTCTGATTTCCGGATAACGGGTTCTGTACTGTATATTCAATTAACAACATTATTTTATTTAATCCGTGAGCTG